ACAGCTAAATTTAACTGTGCAATAAAGATTAATCTTTGCACCAAGGAATACCTTTCCAATAATTGAGAGAAGTACCAAATGTCAGGAAGACAAAAAAATATTACGAGGTAACACCTGATTCGGCCAAACTTCAGAATGAAGTTATCTGTAAATGCTCCAGAACACATCATGGTTCAAAAAACCAAAAACGAACAAAAAAAAACCCCAATTTGCTCAGCTTGCTGATTTTGTACCTTTCTGCCAAAACAGCCATTATTCCATTGCATTCTCCCAATAGTCCTTAAAAGAGATTGCAAATACTGCCCTGGATTTGGTGAAAAAACTACCTGGCATTGTTGGAACATGGTGGGAGGGAAAAAACATCCTTGTATCCTAAAGATATCCTGACCTCCCAGATGAAAAATAGTGCGAGTGATGACCAGTTCCCAAGATGTTGACATATTACAACACAACATTAAAGAAAATGAGAACAGCACGCAAGAGAACATTCTGAACTGCAAAAGCAGCAATTCATTCATCAGAGTTTGGGGATAACTGATGTCATTACACAAGGCTGAAACATTGCACATGAATCTGACTAACAGCATTCAAGAAATACTGGAACAAGACTTGAGAAGAGGGACCATGGCAACAGAGAGCTTATAACAGGAGACTAAAGAAAGCTGGCTTGTGTAGTCTAGTAAACAAAGGTGGAGAAGGGACTGCTGCCTATAAATAGGTCAGGGCAGTAAACATCAGTGAAGAGTGCTATTTCAGATAGAAAGCAGTTCTGGAACAGGAATAAATGGATGAGAACTGACTGTGAATAAATTTAGATCAGAAATCAGAAGCTATGCAACCATTAGGCCTCGCATGCCAGTGGAGTGGCAAGTCAAGAGGGAAACTTACCTACTTTAAGATGGAGATTGGTCAGCTGATGACATTAAGTGGGCTTGTGACAGCAGGAGATCAACTCAATGACTTCGGAGGACTTTTTTTTTTCTCTTCTTAAACTTGTATGTTCCTAGTAGCTAACTACTTGCACATCTTTCTTCCAGATCAAGGAGTGATCCTCCCCACTGGCCTCCTAGACTGCTGAAGCAATGAAAACCTCCCATGTCCTCTCCAGGGGCCAAGCAAATACTTTTAGAGAAGGAAATGTGCTCACAACATGCAGCCTCTCACACATTTCCACTTCCACTGTAGGGCTGCAAAGAGACCAGCTGGATCACCATGTGCCATGGAATGTGATTCATTCTCATTGTGTAATAGGAAGCAGCAGAGGAGGGTCACAGAAGATCAGTGACAAATGCTATCATCTACCCTCTGTGGCACTAGAGTTGTAGAGCGATTAGGCACATAAGATGGTGAATTCCAGCTGAAAACTGCATCAGCTTAGACTTTTTAAGAAAGGATAAAGGAATGATTAATATCACCAAGTGATTACCTCTACTCTCTGTGGATCCTCATTTCTGAATGAGCGCCTACACTGTATTTTGTAAGCAGGTGGTAAAGTCCTCTCCCTGCACGTTGGGCAGACCAAAGACCAGTGAATGCAGACAACAAAACACCAGCAAGCGCTGCTAAGAAGCTGTGGACAGTCAGCACTGCTCGCTTAGCATTGCACTGGGCTAATGTGGTCCCGCTGGGCCTCAACACCTTCTGTTTATCAAGTTGTCTTTGCTTTCTCCATTTCATCTCAGTATTGGCCCACAGTGCTAGCCTTGGCAAGACAACTTAAACAACCATATTCTCTCACCTTCCTCGGCCTTCACTTTGGACAGTTTGGCTGTCATCTCTTGGGAAGGGGGGCAAAGGGTGGGAGGTGAAATTAAAGACAGATAGCAAGCTGCTTGTGAGAGCCCCCTGCCTGCAACACTCCCTTCCTCTGGCAGAAGACACTATAACCCTTCACGACATGAAGAAAAAAGCTTTTTTTTTTTGTTGGTTTTTTTTTGCTGCACTTTCAGAATGTCACTGACAACAGCATTGCAGTAGTAGCATGTATTGAACATAACCAGTAGTAATTATTAGTATTGCCTTCATTAAACTCTTTCCATTGCTACCCCACATGACATACCCATCTGTTACTGCAACAGATGAGACACCAAGAAGCAGGAGCAACGCCTTTCCTTCTGTAATCTGTAAGAACCCCCTTCCCTGGAGATAATGTGTTCCTCAATGTCTCTTACCCTAATGTACCATGCCATAAACCTAATGTCAGCAAAGAAGAAAGTACATAAACTGTTAGAAGAATATTAAAGGGACATGCATTAAATTACCATCAATGATCTTATGCTAGACTATTAAATGGAAAGAGCACATAAACCAATCCATTACCATGTTCCTAACAGATGGTTCAGAGATCCTGTGTTGGGAGAACCGTTGTAGCTTTCTCAAAAGATGAAGGTTAATACATACTGCTTTTTACCATTTGGGCCTTAAACAGGAATTTGAAGTTAAACCATTGTGTCACTCAAAGACAGGTGGTGAGGGTAAATAAAACTTATTTCAAGAGGCACCTTAAATTAATACTAATGTTCTAATAACATTAGATGTCACATTTTTATTATATCACATGCTTATACTTTAAACCGTTTCTTCTCTTAAGAACTCACACTGAGGCTTGTACCCATCAATTATAGAAAATATTGGGCAAATATTAAGACATTCCACAAGTCTTAGGAGAAGTGTATTTTGTTTATAGTATTTCCTATGTAGCTGCAGAGTTACTTTTTCAATATCCCAAATAATAAGCTTTTATTAGAAGCCCATCTTTCATGTAGCATACCTCAAACCACGAAGACAGGAACTATCATTTAGCCTTGCCAGAATATGTGTGTGTTTGTGTGCATATATATATGTGTGTGTGTATGTGCGTATACTTCTTCCACCTGCTTCCTTATCCAGTTACCAAAAACTTACTGGCCCATTTTCTTAGAAATGTCTACCAACTCATCTCTGGTTTTGATACAACAAAACTTTGTTAGTTTTGTCCTAACTGTTCAGTACAACAGCAATACAACACTTTGAACTTGCACAGCATACCTCATCACAAGATCTTCTAAAAAAAAGGAGGTTCTCCGAACTTAGATGTGCTTAGCGGGTGCCCTTTGAAGTATCAGAGTTACAACAGGTTATTCTATTTCTTCAACTGAAGTGACTCCCACATGGTAAACAGAGGCTGGAAAGCTGAGGAAGTGAAGGCAGTACTTTGTACTGCACCCAGGAGGACCTCTACTGGTTGCCTTGGTTGGCCAGGGTTATTCCAAAATGGACCTGGTGTGTTCTGCACACCAGAGCTACCACAGCAGAAACCTGTACCACTGAGATGCTTCCTGGCATCACAGGATCTCAGCACAGAGCTGAGATTGAAGCTTTACACTCTTCTGCTTAGAGGACATGTCTCTTCTCTTCTCTGAAGTAAAGATTGAAGCTTATTTAAATTAAAGCTTTATATCAGGATCTAAATTCTCAGATAGCTGGTTAGTGGCTGCCATCCCACCCCCAGCCTGGTGGTTCTTCAGGTTATGTGAACCTCTATCCCCAACAAGAGAGTATCAGCCTACGCTAGCTTTCATCTGCATCCTGAAGATCATCAAGTGTGAAACACTGCATTTCAATGATCTATGTGAAGTTTCCTGAACTTTTCTGGACCCCTTGCTAGGGTCCAGAAGAGCTCTGCAGTAGAGCTATTCTTGGGTTTTGGTCTTGAGACAAACTCAGCAACAAACAGCCTGCAGATGAGCTCATTTTACCTTAACCCTACCAGCCCCATAAGTGTGAAAATTTCAGGGCAAAAGGTAATTCAATTGAGAAATAAGCAGCCACTCTTTATTCAACAGTTTCTGGTTTGTTTGGGTTTTGGTGTCGTCGTCCCCCACCCCCCCCCCCCCCCAAAGGATGCATGACTGCATTCACACCTATTTGATCCCACTGGATTTCAGACTAAGCCAAGAAAACCAGTATTCACAAACACTATTGCCTTGACACCTAGGTGTGGCAAAATCTCTTCAGTGTCTGCTGTGTTCTTGTCTATCTTTACCTAGTGATTCGCAGCACAAAGCAAATTCTGTGCTCCTCTCTCATCCCCTGAGGAACACCAGCTGCTTCTGGGCAGCGCGCATTCCCCAAAGGATAGAGTTACTGGTGAGCCCCACCACAGAAGTGCCAGTGGGAAAATCTGGCATCTCGTACCCCACAGGTTGCTCTCATTCTTTGGAGAAATCCCTCTTTGCTGTCAAAATACAAAGACACAAGAAAAGACCTTTTTATATCCTCCTCTCTGCTAGCTGCAGCCCAGTGGCAAAGTCCTGGTGGTAACAGCAATAAAAAAAATAAGCAATACTTTACGTATGCCAGGTAGCAGCTCCACAGCTATGTAACCGGGGGATGTCCTAAGGAAAGCTTTCCTACTGCCAGTTCAGGTTATAGCCACATGCACTATGACAGAACTGCAGTCTCTAACACTTATTTACCTACAATCATACCGACCACTGACCAGGCTCGAGCACCCCACAGTGGATGGGCTCTGGAGACCATAAATCACAGTTTACCAGCATAAAAGTCTTGTTTCCCAGGTGGTTAAAATCATAGTTGAGGTCAAGCTAGGTTTAATTACGCAGCGTCGTAAGAAATAACACCTCAGTAAACATTTTCTTTTTGCAGTCAGAAATAAACTACAACTGGCAACTGCTGCTCTTCTCTCCCCACCAGAAGCACACCAGGAACGTAACCCACATGCACACCTGTTTCAATGGGAGCAGGTAAAGCAAATGCTGTCTTACAGATGGAGATGAAAGCAATTCTTTTACGGAGCAACAGCTCCCTAAGGCACACAAAGGTAAGAGCTCAACAGGAAGGCCTGAGGTTGCTCTGCGGTGTGACTGAGCAGCCCACCTGGGAAGGGTTGATCGGGTCACTCCAGAGCCACAGCATGCCTTCCCTAGGAGGGGGGCAGAACCAAAACCCCATCCTACACCCTTCTCGATAGAAAGCAAGCAGAGGAACACTCCTCCTACCTGAACTCGGGGAGGAGGTTTGCCCGCAGCCCATAGAAAGCCGCCGAGAGAGTCACTAGCCAGCCGGGTTTGTAATTCCCATTCTCACACTCCAGGTAAGGTGAGGACCACCTGATGTGGTTCTTATCAGCAGTGAAGCTCTCCCGCCTCTTCCAGCTGTTCTCCAAAGTTTTGGGGCCCGTGTTCAAGACCTTCCTGTGCAGATGTGGCCTCCACTTGCGCTTCAAGCTGTGGAACCACTCTGTTTCCACAGAGGCGTTGGCCAGGCGGTGAGCCGAGGAGGACAAGTCCTGCAGGAGGACCTGGCTCTCGTGCCGGCTGGCCTGGAGGAAAACCTGGGGGGTGGAGGAGAAAGGCTCTGTGCTGAAAGTGATAGCTGCCCTGGAGATGTTGGGGTCCCCCTCCAGCAGGCTCCTGATCAAGGCGCGGTACCACTCCAGGTCCTCCTGCAAGTTCTGCTCCCGCGACTTATTGCTCTGGAGGATCATGTTGAGGAAGTTGGTGGCGTGGGTGAGGGTGTCCAGGGCCCCGTGCAGGGTGGGGTGCGAGGTGAAGCGCGACTTGCCGGCGAGGCTGGCCAGCTCGTACCGCCCGGAGCAGTTGGCACGCCGCAGCTCCCGGGAGTCGCCCGTGTAGAGGAACGAGGCCACGTCCTGGGGCACCTCCTCGGCGAGCCGCTGCGCCAAGATGGTGCTCTCCGTAGAGCGGCTCCGCGGGGCCGGCGGAGGCTCCCGGCTCTTGATGTGGTTGTAAATAGGCGGCCTCCCTCTGAGCGCCCGCTCCCGGCCGCGCACCGCCGGCCCTTGGCCGGCGGCAGCCCCGAGCCCCCGCTGGGCGAGGAGCAAGAGGAGAAGGAGCCGGAGCAAAGCCATGTCCCCCGGCGCTCCCGGTCGCGCAGGCACGGCGAAGTGGCTGAAGACGGGCTTCGCGCAGGCGGCCGCGGCGCAGGGGCGCGAACGCGCAGGGGCGGCCGAGCGGCAGCGGGACGGAAAGCGGCCCCCGGCCCGCGAGTCACCTGTGGCGGCGGCGGCGCCCGCGCCTTCCCCAGCGC